TGTAGATGTTCATTGAAATGAAAAATAAACAAACTAAATTTAAAAAAATGTAAAAAAAAAAAAACACAAATGTAAATGGCACAATCCAAAAATAAAATATTAGTCAAAGAAGCAGAAGATAGTCAGAAATTGGCAATGGCATAAAGGAATATTTATCAAGCAAACTTAAGTATATTCTAATCTAAGTCTAGACCATGAGACCTCTTATATTTGACTCCACAAATCGTTTTGAAAGTCAGCAATTTGCATGCAAGGTGCTAAAATAGAGAAAAGATGAGTGACAGTGCCTGTCTGCAAGGGTTTTACAATCAGAACAGAATAAAACCAGGTAAGTGAGTTCATGTGTGACTGACTCATTTCAAGGAGACCCTGAAAACTGAGAAGAGATGCCTTAAAAGAGATTCATTTAAAAAAAAGAAAGAAAGAAAGAGATGCAACTATAAAGGAGAAAGAAGGGAGGATTGTGAAAGTTGGTGTGAATGTCACACACAAGTGAAAGCAAGGCTTACTAGACCCTCTTCCCTGGACTAAGGCATGCCTCTCAAGCCTCACTGTTCACCACTTTCTTTCTGGCTCTCATCAAAGTCTTGAAGGCCCTGAATATTGATGGCACTGAACGAAGCAGACTATGGGTAAAACAAAGGCAACATTCAGAACAAGAATGACAAAAATAGGAAAAGGACAAGTCAGAAAATAGAATCTGTCTCTCTAAAAAGTCAGGAAAAAATGCAGTAAAGATTAAAAAGTAAATGTCACTTTGGTTTGGTTTGGACTAACTCTGACAATCTTTGACAATAAACACTAAAGATTTCAGGATCAGGTGGGAAAAGGGGACACAAATATTTTATCTATGACAAAGGAGCTCTGGTGGTGTAGGCTGTAGGAAGTTGTACTATGAACTAAAGGGTGGAACACCTCTGACAGTTCAAATCTTTTGGCTGATCTAAATGAGAAAGATGTACATGCAATTTACAGCCTCTAAAAACTCACTTGAGAGTCAGCTATGAGCTGATTTCAACTGGATGACAACAGATGCATGTGTGTGCCTAACAGAAAAATCAAGGAAATAACCTGAGTGAGATGGTACCCATTTGGTGTAAGCCAAAAGAAATATGCCCTGCACGCCTGCCCATGGCACCCAGGGTTAAGCTACAGCACAAGATCAAGAGGTCTGGGGCCCCAACCCGCTGCAGGCAGCCCTTATAACTGCAAGTGACACAGAGGTGTACCAGGCCTCTGCTGGAATTCGCATTTTGGGTCTCAATTCTTAGGATGATCCCCTGGGAAATGGAGAGTAGGCTCCTCTTTAGTCGTGTGTGTGCTGCTGACTAGTCGGATTAGCATGTGCTTTAACTTAACCAGTCCTTGGCTGTCATCTAATAACCTTTAGGTGTAACTGCAAAAAAAAAAAGGGAACATTGATTCTGTTTTATCCCAGTACCACAAACGTGTTGTCGGGGTGATGTGCCAAGTACCATTTCTTAAAATAACTTGCTTCTATTCTTAATTTCCAACACCAAACCACTATAAAATTAGAATACTACATCCCTACCTTTGGGAAATCTGTAATTTGAGCTTGTATGCTAAAAACTCAAAAAACTCATTGCCATTGAACTGGAACCAACTCATTGCTAACCCAGTCTCAGTTTTCTAAGACTGTAAATCACATGCGAACTCTGATGGCCTAGGGGTAAGGAGCTGCACTGTCATGTTCAAACAGCTGCATGCAGTTTGAATCCACCAGCTGCTCTGCAAGAGAAGGATGAGCAGTCTCATCCCTTGTGGCTGACTGCCTCTCACTGGAAGGTCAGCTATGGAGGGTTCTGACTCAATGGCATACAACAACAAATCACACTAGAGACTGCCCATCTTCCTCCCTAAGAAGCACATGTCAATATGAACCACTAGACGTTGTTATTTGTGAGTTAACAGTACAATTTCCTATAGACTACACCACCAGAATCCCCCTAATCACATGACCAAGGCAAAGAAAGACACTAGGAAGCACACAAGAGGCAACAACAATTAACACTATTAAATAGTTATTCCTGCAATAACAGTAACAAGAGTTATTTATGAGTGGAAAAGTAAGCTGAGCATGTAGAGAATGGCATCTTGGAAGTACACCAACAAGCATATAGGTTTGGCACAAGATAATTCTACAGACATTTGTATGAGCTGTAAACATGATGTTTGCAGTAAAACATATGAAGGACAAAGTTATGCAAACTTTTTCATCATAACCTAACACTTTGGGAGACTCAATCATTGGGCTTGAGGGCTTTGGGCGACTGTCTCAGGAACAACTAGGTTAACTGACATATCACAACTCATAAAGATGATTTCTACCTTTTATTCTGGCGAGTAGTACTTGGCGTCTTAAAATTTTGCAAGCAACCATCTGAAATATAACTAATGGTCTCTCCATATGGAGCAAACCGTGAAGAAAATAAAATATCCAAGGGAACAAATGGTCAAAAGGACTATTGCCAGCCATAGCCTAGACTACACTGAGACCTGGGGTCCTCGGGTAAGGGGCTGCACTGCAAAACCAAAGGCACATCGTTCAAAGGCACCAGCTGCTCATCAGAAGAACGGACAATCTCCTTCCACGTGATTTAATGCCTCTGCAAATCCAATGGAGGGCCAGCAATGTGTTGGTTCCAACAAGACAGCACACAACCGCCACACTACCAACTGGATTAGAATCACAACAGAAGATCCTAGACAAAGTATGAGAGAACTGAAAATAAAATTAAAAATCATAAAAAAGATTAGATTTACTGATCTGCTATACTAGTGAAACCATCAGACAGGATTCAAGCCTTAAACTGAATCTACTCCCAAAGACCACCATTCAGCCCAACAACAGATAAGCTTATAAGATGAACAAGAACACACACACGAGGAACACGCTCTTCAGAAGTCAACCAGAAGGCCAAAACAGCAGCATCAACCAAGAAACTAAGTTCATGAAGGGGCAGAAAAATGGGAAAAGAGAAAGAAAAAACCCAAGGAAGAGTGCAGTCACATTAAGGGGACTGCAGATAAAGCAACAAATGTGTATTAATTATTGAATGTGAAACGATGTTCTTTGCAAACTTTCTCCCAATGAACAATAACATGTCCATCCCCAATCCTCTGCTGAAACGTGCATGTTTTCATTTTTTTGCTAAGGATGTAACAGCTTTGGCTAGTTTCTTGTGCTCACTATATGGATTATAAGTATGTTATTTACAAGGGAGCTCTGGTGACCTCGTGCTAAGAAATTGTGCTGCAATCTCAAAGCTGCACAGTTCGAATCCACCAGCTGCTCCGCAGAAGGATGGATCATCTCCTCCCATTTGATGTAGACTCTGAAAATCTGCTGGAGGGTCCATTGTGACTCCACAGCAAGGCAAACAACAAAGGGTTTACTCTGAGAAACACAGAAAGTATCTCTTTTAAGATTTTGCAACAAATCATCTATTCCACTGTAGTTCTACTTCTCCTCCCAAGGGAGGAATTGTTATCACTATCCTGTCAATTTTGATCATTCTCTGGAAAGCACTGCTTCAAAGAGAAGGTCATAGGGATGGTTCTCTCACAAATGAAGAGCTAACACAAATTTCTGCCTTTGCCAAATGCCTACGCTGTCACTTTCGACTTCACATTAATGATGAAAAATAGCAAACTGGACATGTGGTGGCTTTGTCCATTGGGAGTTGCACTGCTAACCCAAAGGCATTGCCTCTAGCTGTCAGACTCAAACAGTGGCTACTGGGAGAAATCCAGGTACTCTACTCCCTGGTGAAATACACACTCGGGAACCCTCTGGAAGGGTCAGCTATGCACTGATTTCCATCTGATAGCAATGAGTTTTTCTGCGTTACACGATATCTTAAAATGATGCAAGAAAAAAATGCACTGGTCACTTCCATCAGGAGGCACTCAAAAAGGTTCTACAGAAAGAACCCTATTTCTTTATTGCCAGGACAAGTGTAAGCTGGGAATGAACTACAAGATTTTAACATGCCCCTACAAGCAAAATTAGGATAAAAACTCTGAATAAAACAGACTTCCACCCTTAATTTGCTGGGACTAAATCCAGGAAGCTGACAGATATGAGAGTTGCCTTTTTTTTGCTGTTTCTGAAGAAGCTCTGTTTCTGCTCATATGCTATGAATGGTCATACACTCAAAGTGTCAGTTCTTGAAAAGTTGCTTCTTTATGTACAGTCTAAAAAGGAAAGGCTGATTTAAAATGCAATTTTAAAACAAAGCCCCTTGCAAGAGCAATAAGACCCAGGCAATTGGCTGGATAAAACCAAGGACTAGATTGAGAAGTAACTCTTGAGAAGTTCCAGTACTCTGTGGTGTCTATAACATCTTTAAAAACTTATAAGTCACACTTAGTTAATTAAAAAGCAAAGTCATCAGCTCTCTCACTATTCTAGAATGCTGAAAGTATATTAGCTAGGTGCTCATAATAGTGTGCGTTCCAATTAGACTAAGCATCCCATTAAAGACCCGAGGCCTGCTTTAGGGTCCTCTAAATGAATGATTAGGGAGCTCTGGCTGACCAGAGGATAAGGAGTTGCGCTGTCAACCCAAAGGCTGATTAATTGACTTGAGACGCCACCAGTGAAAGATGGCCCATCTCCTCCCTTGGGATTTCAGCTATGAGCTGGTTTTGAATCGATGGCAATGAGAGTTGGAGGGAGAAGTGACTCAAGCAGCTGCTTTCTTACCTGTGGAGTCATCGTGGAGGGATCTGGCTCAGCCGTGGCTTGCTGTTCAGCAGCACTCTTGTTCTTGATTCCACTTTCCAAAGGCTCTGGCTTATTCCCAGCAGGGCCGGGAGGTGGTAATGGTAGGGATTTGGGATGGTTCTGGGAGGACCGGGAAGGAGATGCCTGAGAAGGGGGCAAGTACGACTGGGAGTGGCTCAAATAGGAGGAGGAGGAGGAAGAAGAGTAAGATGAAGTGGGTGCCAGGTAAGACTGGGAAGGTGGGGAATGGGAAGGGGATGGCTGAGCAGGAGGCGGGTAAGGCTGGGAAGAGGACGGCGGGTAATAGGAGGGTGGCGGTTGGGGTGGGGGCATGTAAGACTGTGAAGGGGGTATGTAGGAGCCTGGTGGCACAGGGGGAGACTCAGGAGGGGAATCCAGCTCCATGGGAACCAATCCAGAAGGCTCGTCTCCTGGGACATCATCAAGCATCTGATGTTTGTATTGCTGCTGCTTCTGATAGCTGAGTGCCGGTCCAGGAGGCGGGGGCATCGGCGGCGGCGGCGGTTGCCAGTCCCCATAGCCGCCCCCCGGCATCACCGGCGGGGGTGGCAGCGGGGGCGGGGGGAGGTGGTGAGGCTGGAGCACGCACTGCATTTGCTTCTGGTGCATCTGCTGCAGCTGCTGGAGCTGTGCCAGATGCTGCTCGCGGAAGCTCATGAAGCCCGAAGAGGAGGGAACCGTGGGAGTCGTCGAACTCGAGTAACCGGGCGCCGGAGAGGCCTCAGGAAGCGCCACCGGAGGCGGAGGCGGAGGCGGCGGTGGGATGGGCGGCGGGATGGGCGGCGGTGGATAGTGGCTGCTCCCGCCATACCCATCCCAATTCGGGTACATAGCGGAGGAGGAGCAGGGTTTCTCCCGCCGCCGTTACTCGCCGCAACCGACCTCCGGGAGGGGCGGTAGCGACGGAGGCAGCCAGAACTCGCGGCGCCTACAGGACCCGGAGCGTTTACACACCAAGCGCGGTAGTGCGCCGGCGGTACCGAACTGGGCCCGCGACCAAGAAGGCGGGGACAGGGCAAAGGCGAGTAGGCATGCGCAGTACCTACCGAGAGGAGAACAAAGGCGAGGTAGAGCAGCTCTTTCCATGATTGCTCTCCACTGCCATCTTTCGTCGGATTTAGGTAATGCAGGTGAGAGTGCACTGTTCTCATAGAACGAAGGAACCATAGAGTCTCACAGCTTAAAGACGTGGTAGAGATCCTATCGCCCCATGGGTTCATTTTTGAAAGGGGGGAAAAAAAGGGGAAAGGTCCCATTCACAATAGCAACAATCTCAACAACAACAAAATAATCACGAAACAATTAGGGGAAAAGGAAATAAGAAATATAGGAAAGGTATATGAAATAAAACTACAGAATGCACATGTCTGAGAGGGATAAAACTAATACCTTGAAATAACGGAAAGACTTGCCATTGTCTTTAAATGAAAAGATGGCTATGAAAAGATGTCAGTTGATTCAAAAGTGAATTAACAAATTTAATACAATTTTTTTAAAAAATAGAAATCCGGTTGAAAACAGAGTTGTGAAAGAGTAGAGATAATTTTGAGGACAGAATGTAAGACAGCCGAGAGTATGAAAGCATATGAAAAGTAACATTTGCAAGTATTAGAAAAGGAGAGAAATTAAATTCTTTAGACTACCTCAATACATTAAAAGCCTAGTTGGCGGATTGCAGAGTTAAAGCAAAGATTGCAAAAATCAGATAAAAAGATTGTCTAGAGAAACAACTTAAAATCCTCAAAAAATCTTGCTGCAGGAAAAGAACTCCTTTGGCTTCAGTCATTGAAAAGTAAAACTTATACAAAACAGATTATGGGGGGAAACAATTCTTACCTGAAAATATTAAATATGTCAGTAGTGCACCACTTAATGATATGACCTTGCTTCCACCTTTACAACCTAGATCTTTACATCTCTTAGGGGATAGATACAATAGAAAGTAGGGCATCTAGGTGTTCTTCGAAAGAATAAGCTTTTTCTACAATAAATGTTGTGTTCCTTTAATCTTTTTATTGAACTATAATATATATGTATACCAAAAAAATGACATCTCTTAAGTGTTAGTGAATTTTCACAGACCGATCATGTTTGTGTAACCATTGCTGAAATCAAGAAACAGAATGTTATCTCTTAACCCAGAAGTTCCAGCTAGATATGTGGTTCTTTAAAATTTAATTGTTTTAATTTTAAAATTTAAAGTCATTTTTTAATTTTATACTGATTCATATACATTGTTTTTCACACATCATCTTTCCCCTTTCCTTTACCCACCCCTCCTTTCACCCATCAAATTGTTTCCCTAGGATTAACCACAACCCCACACACACTAATCCTCCCCCCTCTGCCTGCCTGCTTTGGATCCTCCTACATGTTCTATAATAATGGTCTTACACAGTATTTGTCCTTATGGTTCTGAGTTAGTTCACTTAGCATAATGCTCTCCAGTCCCTCCCAAGTTAGGTAGTTGTTATGTGCCATTGAGTCACCTGCGACTCATAGCAACCTATGTGCAACAGTCCTAAAAGCTGCTCTATCCTGTGCCAATCTTATTGTCTCTAACACACACACACACACACACACACGTTACCCCAGTCACTGAATCAATCCGTCTCATTGAGAGTATTCCTCTCTTGTGCTGTGTCCTCTACCCTTCCAAGCATGATGTACCTCTCCAAGAACTAGTCCCTCCTTGCAACATGTCTAAAGGATGTCATACAAAGCTTCAGAATTCTTGCCTCCAAGGAGCAGCCTAGTTTTGTCACTATTTGTACATGGTATTATTGTGTCCATAGAAATGCTTGAATTTAGAAACAGTGGTGGAGGTGGAGGTGGAAAAGGAGGGGCTGGTGTTGAAGCCAGATCCGGTGCTGTATACACGTATAGTTGAGAGTCCAGCGGGCCTGGGCACAGACCCAGAAACAGTCCAGAACTATGTTGTTGTTGTTGTTGTTGTTATGTGCCGTCAAGTCGTTTACGACTCATAGCGACCCTATACACAACAGCCCTAAACCCTGCTCTAT